TTTCTCCATAGAAATTACCTATAATTGCATAAGTGACAAATTTAAATTTTAGTTAATTTATTTCGTGCACACATATTCATAGTGTAACGTTACACTCTACTGCTGAATTTTATACACTGACCAGCATTATAAAAAGTAATCTTTAAATATTTTTCACCCTTATTCAATTTCTTAATTCCATCAAAAATCATGCTAAGTGTACCATTAGGGCCCTTTCCTATAATTTCATCTTCATTAAGAATATAATTAATTTGCTCCCTCACTGCTTCATCTTGAATACCAAATAAATGAACTTTACATGGACAAGGTAATAAATTTTACTTACCTGTTTATCAGAATGGGGTACATGGACATTTTGGCTCAATCATAACTATCCCTTAAATGATTTTTAGACCAAATATGGTCTAAATTTCAAATTCCATTTTTTCTTTACAAAAAAAGTTTTTATGTAAAACCCTGGGCGTGGTGTGTACTATTCAAAAGATCTTCTCAAATAGTATCTCAATATGTAAATAAAATAATAATGGTTTATTATTGTGTAAATTTCTAAATTTTATTATGTATTGTTCATGTAGTACAAAAATCTGAAATAATAAAAGGACTTTCAACTCCGTTATTTGTAATATTTTGGTATCATACAATTTTTAAACAGCTGTTATCATGGCCTGACCCAAAATTTAAATAGCCTTATTTTAGAAATGTTTTTATGATGAACATACCAACAAAAATTTTGTATCAGACCATGATAACATGCTTAAAAATGTATGATGTCAATATATATATATGTTTTAAAATGGCTTTTACTTGATCTAAATCTTCTATAAATAAGCCCAAGTAGATGATACATCAAGAAAATTCAATTTATTGATAATTATCTATAAAATAAAAAAAAATAAAAAAAATAAAAACAAGTTCAATTAAAATACAAGAAAATATTTTTGAAGAAAATCAACAAGATTCTGATAATGAATTAGATTATTATATTGCTAATATTACAAGAATACCACAAAATATTTACCATGATGAATCTCTTGAGTATAATGAATTTATTGAATGTCTTGACTATACATGCAGCCCAAAGTATTTTGACACTGTCATAAAGGGGGTTACACATGTAGTAAAGGGGTGTTACACTTATGTTTTTAATAGTGAATGCCATAATTAATTTCTACTTTCTACCATCAAAATTGGAATAATTTTGACCATCAAAATCACCAAACCAATTTGGGCTGCATGTATAGGTAGGACAGACACGAATTGATTTTTTTTTCTTGGAAAAACAATTTATTTTTTGACAGAATCCAAGATGACAAAACATGAACGTTGTTGTTTGGTTTGGTTTGGGTCTCCTAAAGAAAACATGTAATAACTAACCAGAGGTACTTTTTTTTATTTGTATTGATATTTTTTATTTTATATAAACATTTTAATTGAATCAAAACATGGAGCAGATCATTGCTAGGTAATTACAAGATTTTCATTGATAATATTTTACTTTTTGTAATCAATAATAATATTAATATTAATATTACTATATAATTACAAGAAGATGTCAAGGCAGCACACCATTTAAAAAAAAACAATTCAAGTATGTGACATTTGATTATTAGAAAATGGCAGGCGTTGAAGCACGCATGCTACCTTGAACACATTACAGTCATTCACACACCTTCCTCATGCACACAAGGCTAATCTGACCAAGATTACCCTGATGATATGATATGCTACTGAATTCCAGGGAGGGGTAACATGGCCCTGGAGTTTACCGAGATTGCATCAATCGTCAATGATGCTTTCACTAATCTTCCCTTACCAGAGATGGCTGCTGGCATGCTAGCTGAAAAGTTGCCTACAACAATCCCTACTCTAGGGCAAGGATGGCACTGTGACAAGCTGTTGCAACTCTGGAGTAATATTAAGAGAATCTGCAGCTCGTTCAAGCACAGGGGGTCACAATTCAGAGCAGGGTTGGTGGCCCTGAAATTGCATTCGGACTCTGATGTTAAGAGGAAAGTTGTAAAATAGTGTTTGTTTTGTATAATCATTTTCATAAATGCTCTGTTTCTCTGATACTAACTAACCAATTTATAATTTTGGGTAAGAGACTGGATGGGGCTTTTGCCCAATAAGTTCTCTGTCCTGTAGGTTAAAATTATCACACGATTATACACATCCTTTTCAGCAATATTGCCAACAAGAAAAAGCCATAAAAATGGTTCAGATTTTGTTTGGTACGTTCCATATAAATTAATCATTTTCTCAAATTTTCTGCTTCTCTTTAATTTTTATTTGACCAATTGAATTTGTTATTTAAAAATGGGGCTAGGGTTGTTGGTGAGCAGGCATGCCACTGACAAGACAGGGGACGCCTTTGGGGTATACCAGCCAAACTCATAGAAAGGGATCTTTTGTCCAGACTTTGTGTCACATGGATGTTAGGCACAGAAAATGTACACTATCAATGTATATTTTTTTAACAAAATAAACATTTAAATAATTAATTGTTAAATATTAATACTTTTCTTTTCATAAAAATTACAGCAACCCAGGACTCAAAACTCTGAATTCAGGGAAAATCCAAAACAAT